CACTATATTAAGCGGAAAATCTACTCGACTATAGTTACAGAAACAAAAAAGTGACAACTGTTTCACCAGTTATCCACCATTTGTTCCCACAAGGTTCTCTTAAGCACGTCATTTTACTGCCTTTCGCTCTTTTGAACATGTTAGCTACGGGCAGTTCCTTTGAAATCTCAAGAGGAACGTATCAAAAAGAGCGAAAGGCAGAGTCGCACTGCGTACGCACGCTGGTTCACATGGGAATTTTCTGGGGCACACACGGTACCTGTGGCTATCGCTGTCGGCTCTGAGGAAAGCCCCCACGCCCCCTTTTCTAGAAAAGTTGGGGTCGGCCCGCAAAAATTGGAAGCATCCCATCAAAATTTTTCAGAGTGTGTGGCTGATGCCGCACCTTCACATGAAAATATTTATCCCTCCTGCGACCGCCACTTTTGAATCCTATGTTTCGAAGGGAAAAAAATGTTAGCTCGGCAGAGTATATAAAAAAGATGAAATGATACAATCAGATTGGGAATGATTTAGATGAACACCAAGCATATAAACCAAACCATTGTCTGTTCTTGTAGAGAAAAGCATGTCTGGGCAATGCTCATTAGAAGAAGCGTAATCTCCAAGGTGTCGCAACATTGGGATTTACACCGTCCTTATTAGAGCGCATTAACTGTTGCCAATGTTTACGTGTGTTTTTTTGATTGCGGCTTCTCACCTCTGCATTCTAGACTCTTGCGATGGCGAATTTTTGCCATTATGCGGCTTAAGAAGTTTCAGAAGAAGGTAAAGAAGATGAGCGTGGATGTGCCCACGCTATACGAAATCTGCCTACGTTTGGAAGAGAATGGTGCAAAGGTATAAGCCGAGTGAGTTACGAGCATCAGGTATTATTTTTGGCTTATTTTTAGAATACGGAGGATTTTCAACGCTGTATTGATGCAGTAAAGGATGGGGACATATCTACGAGAAAACTTGCGATACAAATTGTCTTCAGGCAAGAGCTTTCAAATTTACGTTCTGTGGCATTCATCATTGTTTTTTTTCGGTTCTTCGATACTTTCCCAGACAAGCGAGTCTCAGCTCTGAATACCCTGTTGTCACAGCTGAATGAACCGGATGTGGAGGTTCGGTTTTCCTTTTTCATCTCATTTCTTTTCTCTTTCTTCTTTGCTGAAATAATTGTTTGTTTCTGTCAGATTCAGT